ATTTTAGGGCTCCTTTCCTCTGAAGAGGCTGCTTTGGAACAATTCAATTCCATTTCATGCCTCTTCTTCCCTTTTTCTTCCCATTTACTTTTTGTTTAACCCTGTCTCTGCTTCCTTTTTCTTCCTCTCCCCCCATCCCTCCAAGTTGTTTAGGTTTTTCAGAAGTTAAAATTATTTTAAAGAACCTCGCCAACTTTTTGAAAAGTTTCAGTTTCAAACACATGAAAAGGAAAAGTCAGAAGGGATTCCTAGAACTGTACTGCAGCTTGCAGGTATGGCTTTGATTTTCCTTTTGGCAGGCTTTCGCCATTCCCTCTTTCATTGGCCTTCCAAGAATCACTGCTGGGTGCCTAAAGACCTGTATGTTTCTTACACTTGGCAGGAGTAGATAACAGGAATGCTACAGTTTGGGCTTTGAAAGATTAAAAGCAACATTTATTCCTTACAGTACTTTCAAACTTCCTCAAGTTAATTTAAAAGACATTTTTGAGGATGCATAACTACTAATACTGGATTTTTCTAAACTTTTTTTTTTTTTTTTAAATTTTGCACGTGCCATACCTGTTATTTAAACCAAATAAGAGGTGGATTAAAGTCAGTGCAATTCTTTAAAGTGCATTAACTACTTTGAGCAGTCCTTGGAAGGGGTACCCTGTGCCTCTGTGACTGGTCTCTTTACGATATCTTTGTAAAAGTTCTGGCAATGAATGACCACAGTTTGTGAGTGAATTTCCATTTCTCAGAAATTTTTGCTTCTGGTAACCAACCTCATTGCTAGTCAAGTATACAACACAAGTGTCCCTGCCCTGGCTGGTAGAACAGCTGATAAATTATTCATACAACTAATGAGGATTTTGAATTTCCAGGCAAACTGTGATGGCATTTTTAAAGGCTTGCATCACTTCAGCAACATTTTCCCCACACCTGAATGCTTCAGGCATTCAGGTGTTTTAATCACCAAAGCAGAGCTTTGCCCCTTTCTCCTCCTCCAAGTTCTTTGCTCCACACAGGAGTCCTGTGGCTATTTTGTCTGTTTGTCTGCATGAGGATTTTCTGTGCTAATAAACATGAGGGGAAAGGGGAATCCAAGAGGGCTGAATTAATTACCAAAAGGGATCACATAACTTGCCTTATATTAATTTTGAAATGACAAGACACAGGTGCACCTCAAGTGATGTTCCAGTGGATGTCAGCATTTAAGGTCCCTTTTTTTCTTCCTTCCTATGGATTATACTTTAGCTGGAGCATATCAGAAAAAAATATATCAGAGTAAGGAATCTCCTGCTGAAGTAAAGAGTTCCATGATGTGAAAGGGCTGATTATGTTTATATTTCGTGTTCTCCTGTGAAAGAACCAAGCCCCCCAGCTAGTAGGGGAAGAAAGGTCACTGAAACTGAAGAAACAACTGACTCAGTGTCTTAATTCTGAAGGAAATGAGCCCTTTGGAGATGAGAGGGCCTTTCTGATCTACTTCAGGGCAAGGCATGCAACTATGAAAATAAGCTTTTCCTGTTATGTTGAAGACTAAAGCAGCAAATTCGAAAGACTGGAGATTTGAAGTAAAAAAATATTTACATTGATTTCTCTTTTTTTGCCTTTAAATGCTCCACGTGTGATTGGCAAAGCTGTATCATTTGCCCAGATTATCATCTGCAGCATCCTTGAGAAGAATTTGAGAAAGAAAGATTAACAATAAGTTAATTCTTTCTCACATGTGGCAGCCAGACTTCCATGTCTGGGCTGGAAAGAGACTTCCCATCGCTGGCCAGCCTGGTGGCATGGGGTCCTGAGGTTCTCACATCTCCTTCTGCACCTACTTCATACGAACATTTGAATGTGGAGGAGGTGAGAGAAGCACCACTGTCCGAAAAGCCCTGTAGAGGGGTTTTGGCATGTGTGTATTGCACTTCAAATGAGGACCTGAGCCTGGATTTGAGCCCTAACCACTCTTTGTGGAGCTGAGCTTGCAGGGGGTTTTGCTGAACATCAGAATCAGAAACTTGCATCACTGCTGGTCCCTGTCCCGGGGAATGTTCTGGATGGGATGGTCTAGGACAGTTCTGTCCTGCTTGCCCTCACGGGTGTGTCCCAAGAGCACAAAATCCTTCCCATATATGTCACCACAAGGGACAGTGTGACCTGTGAGCAGCAGGAAGGGAGAGATGCTTGCAGAACACGGCAGATTTCTACTGCTGAAGTACAGATGGCAAATTGAATTTGGCTCTAAACAGCTAAAAATGGTCTTTAACTTAGCTTGTTCCCTTCCTTGGCATCATAGTGGACACAGTCCTTGTGGTCATGGATAAGGACTAGGAGTGCATTGTCAGTTTTTACCGCAGATTGTGATGGGAAAGGCACTGATGGTTCTCGGGGGCTGCCAAGGGTTTAAAAATGTGCTGAGAAATCGAAATACTCATTTAAACTGCAACAGCATCATGAAGTATGAGCTCTATAAATCTTTACAGATTATTGGTCACCTAAATAGATAGACTTGAGAGTTTTGGTGCTTGTGCCAGTCATCCAGTCACTCTTGGGCAAGAATTTTGCTATGAAAAAAGTCAAATGTAGCAACTACAGCTACTCCCACCATAACAGTAGGCAGAGTACACACTGACTGCAACTCTTACAACAAAAGTGACCATTTTGGAAAAGCAAATCACCCTGGAAGTTGATCAGAAATGCAACAGAGGATAGTTTTTAATGGCTTTAGGGGGAATATTAAGATTTATTCCTGTAAAGACTTACTCAGCATGTTGCACAAACTCCTCTTAGCACGCTAATAAGTCAATGTGTTACCGAATGCTTTGCCATTATAATTACAGCCACATGTTGTCCTTTTTACAAATAGGTCTGGCTTAATTGCATCATTTTTCAGCAGGATTTATGTGGTCTTGCTTAATCTAAAATTAGTACATGCACAAATGAAGTGCAAACTATTTTCCATCACTGAACTGTGAAATGTTTTCCAGAATAGAGATATACCAACATGTTCCTAAAAAGATGCAATAAACAGTCAGGCAACTTTTTGATTTGTGTGTGAGTCTGCACCTATGCAAGTTTGCTAAAAGTGAGGGAAAATATACTAAAATATACATTAACTACAAAATGACAAAAAAGTCAGCTAAATGGTCTAAATCAAATAGTCATTTTTGATTATCACTGGTAAAACAATGGATGGGGGAAATCATAAATCTATCTTGATATTGCTAGCTCTCAGCATTTATTAAATACAGTAAGAGCTAAAGTGTTTTAGATATTACATCAACCTATCACATGTAAATATATCACATTTATATGATGCTTTATAGGCCAAGATTGTGTTGGCCTAAATTCTAAGTTACTTTCACTAATATTCCACATTGCCTAGGTAGCTCTGAGTACCTAAGGATATGTATAGGGCATAGCAGGGATAAGAGTTTGGAGTACCTGAACCTAGGCTAGATATCACAATTGCCATCTCTAAATACTGATTGGGACTTTGGAACATGCATGATTTCCAGGAGTGTTAGAACTTAGACATTAAAATATAAATGCACGGCCAAATCCCAACCAGATGCAAAAGCCTTATGCTGGAAGTAGATGAAATCCTCTTTCAGTTTATATCTCATAGGGAAAAGTTGCTTTCAGCAGAGTGGAGACCCTGCCATCCAAAATGGAGATTTACTTCCTGCTGTGAGGAAGTCTGCTGAATTTTAGTGAGTAAGTCAGAAAGCCAAGAGAGATTCTGGTATTACTTAAGCACTAATGTAAAAGTCCTAAGCTTTGTTCTTCCTCTAAACATGGCAGCTTCTCTCTCTATTTATTGACAGATGAGTGCAGTTTTTGAGAGCTACTCATTTTTGTGTGAAACATGGTTTGGGTAGAAAGTTAAGAGAAAGGCTCTATTACTACAACTACTTGAATATTAAAAAGAGCCCTTGGTTTAAATTTTATATTCCTGATTTTTACTCCTTTAAAGTATTTCTCCATGTGTTTCTCAATGGACCCAAATTCCAAAGACTTACTTGAATCAGGGCACCTAATGACCTGTAGAATGTGCTTTCAGACATGAGAAATGCTCATGGCTATGGGTAGGAATGAGTTAACACACTTCCAAACAGTAGCTTGCAGGTCACTGCCATTTCTCTCTGCCTCATCATGTCACCACAGTAATTCACACTCTGAAACATTAAGGCTATAGCTGCAAACATGCAGCAAACAGAAGCTTCTGAGCAGAGTGATCCTTGGTGCTCCTTGCCATCCACGAGACACCTGTCTGGTTCTGTGCTTGGCTTAAAGTGAGGATTCTCATGTGCATTATCCCAAAGCTGAGAGATCTGCCAAACCAATAGTGGATGTCTGGATTCATAATTCCTGGCAGCCCTTTAATCCAGATCCTTGGAGATAACAACAGAGTTGTGCCCAAAACAGGGACCCTGTCTTCCCAGTGGTTCATCACTGGTGTTTGAACCAGGGCACCAACCCTGACATCATCCCTGCTGCCTACAGCACATTCACAGCTTCTGCTCTTCCTGAGAACGTTTATTTTGTAAATTAATGGCAAAAGCTCAGGCTGAGGGATTTGTTACCATTTGTAAATCAGGAGTTGGCCGTTTGTCTATACCAAATTTGGTATTTCTCACACAGACATTTCCAAAAGCACTTTTATGAAAGCATTTATGCACCAATAGTTTTGCTTGGTAAGAGCAAAGTGTGATGCAGGAGTAGGATGCAGGTGTTACAATCACATTTGGAAAAATCATACATGAAAAAGGAGGTACTGAGGAATTTTAGAGAAGACTTTCCTAAGGAGATATGACATCCTCCATGGGTGTGGTACCACCCTCTGTGAACCAGTCTTGCCCTTTCTGGTGCAAAGATTTGATCCACTTTGGTTTCTTGTGCAGGACACGTGAGTCTTGCATAAAGCAGCAAACTGCCCTTGGAGTTAGGTCTTCCAAAATAATGGTCCACTAAACAAAAGCAAAGGAAGAAGAGTGCGCTGCCATCTGCTATGTAAGTAAAGAATTTAAGGTTCTGTAAGGTTAGTGTAATTTAAGGTTCTATCAGGTTCTGTAATTTTTGGTTACTGCCACAACTGAATAAGCATTTTTGGTGCTGAGTGTACCGTTTTCAACACCTTCAGGTAAACATCTTCTGCCTGCTCCGATGTTATTGTAGATATTTCTCTGGAGCATGTTCCTCAGCCTGTCTGAGTGCCAGAGAAGCCATCTCCATCTGCTGAACACTCCTCAGGTGAACTACTGACCTCCACCCATCCAACACCTGCAACACCCGTGAGCTGCTCAGCCGTGGCCACCGGGCTGCTGAGGGACACCGAGCGAGATGCACCCACAACAGCTTGGAGGAAACTGGGTGGCTTTTTTATAGACTTTAAAATGAAATAGAAGTAAAAACTCCTTCTGACAGAGGTAAAGCTGGAAACAATTCCAAGCTTTTCCTGAGCAGAAAGGCTGCTCCTGACTGTTACTCCCAGAAACGAGCACTGTCATCCGCTGAACACTTCAACCACACTAAAGGAGACACCTGGACTCAGAAGATAGAAACTCTGCTCAGTTTTCTCAAGTTGGATATTCTGGTATTTCTGGTGCATCCTGCATATGTAGAAGCAGCAAAATTTGTCTTGGGGAACAGAGGCATCAGCTCAGAGAGGGGACAGATGGTGAACGTTACGGAGACCAAACTACGGCTCAATCTTCCCAGAGAGAGCAGGTCCTGCAAGGTAGGAAAAGTGGTTTTAAATGAGACCTTGAAAGTTGGAATATGAATGGCTTGGGTAGGGTACTGTTCTGATGCTGAGAGGGAAGAGGTGGTCTGAGGACAGCACCTTGAGCATGGAAAATTGGTGGGGAGGGGAGCTGCTGTCAGAGGAGCTGGTGTAGAGATCATCAACTGCTTTGAAGGCTTAATAAGTCACTTTAAACAAGTGTGCTGTTGGTTTAGGTGAGTTCCATGCTTTTCACAGGGAAAGTTTTCTCCCACCCCACCCTGCAACAGATGTCATTCCCTGAATTGAGAGTTCATAAAGCTTTTAGAAAACTTCTGTTTAATTTTTAGGCTTTATTATTGTACATCAAGATGGTTTTTTTTTGCCATGTTATTGTTCCTAGTGTAATTGCTCTTGCAATTAGAAAAGATAATTGATTAAATAATAGCTACAGTTTTGAGTTTATTGTGTTTCAAAAGATCTACATTTATATTTTTCCTTAAAATTTTGCAATTAAATTTAAAAAAACCCCATAAACCAGCAGCATATTTCTATACCAACTCCTGCAGGCTGTCTGTAGGATGTCTGGGCTGAGGAGCTTGAAAAGGATATGTATATGCTCCTGGAATATAAATTAATCCCTAACTTCTCCAAGTCAAATTCACTATATCCTTTTTTTATCTTTTCAGAACAAGGGAAGATATCAGTCAAATTGTCACAAATATGCCCCAAACTGTTGTGAAAGAGCAACAGATTTCCTAAATTAATCTGTAAGGTATGTTTTCAGATTTCAGAACCCTCTCCTTAACCTCGGTTCCACAAATAGCTTTATGCTGAGATGAAGTGGAGACAAACACACAATAGAACTTTCTAAGCAGAACTGCTGAGAGGTGTGTGCTATATCCTCTCATAGCAACCATAGGCCCAGCTCAGCTTTGGAGGCTGAATGGATCCAATGCCATGGTTTCCATGGTTGCACAGGGTTTCATGTACCCAATAATATTAATATTCCAGTCCTTCATAGAATAACTCGTGCAAAGACAAATTTTCCTCTTTATTTCCTATCTTAAATTATTGCTGTCTTAATGACTGAATGAAGTTACAAGGTGAAAGTTATTCTACTAAAGCTTAAAATGTTGTTGAGATTGTCTTAGCATGAGCTCAAGCCTGCAGTACTTACGTAAGCAAAATTTCAGGTGCCTCCTGAGACAACACTGTTGGATTTGGCTGGTAAAATAATGATGTTTTTTCTCTTTACCAGTTGTTGCTACCATTTATCTTAACAAAAATTTTGATTGCCACTAAGAAGTTAATAATACTGACAATGGCTGACCAGTTTTTGGAAGAAAACAGTGCAAGTCTGAGAACTTAGAAGTGCGAACTCAGTTGTAATAATGTGACTTAAATTTTAAGGGAGCGACCTCTTTTGTGTTTCAATACTGAGTTGGAAGTAATCATTGTCCTTGCATTTTTTGCCGCCTAGAGTTTTCCAAAGCTCATCCCTGTTGGAAGCTGCCCACCACCTCATTTTTTATGTCCATCTGAAAAATGTCCGTTGTTAATTAAGAGCTGTGGTAACTCTTACAAGATCACCTCAGAACAACACCTCAGACAAGTGTCAAAGAAACTTCTTGACAAATATTGATCTTCTTGGGTAGCTCCAGCTGACTGGGACTTCCCTACACCTTAAAATCCCAAGTCCTTGGGGTGAATGACTCCTTTCAAGGTGACAATAACTTGCAGGTGCTGTCCCATTCCTGGGACAGGCCATGGCTGAATGAGGGGTTGAGTCATGGGGAAAACTTGCTGTGGGCATCATGGAGCTATTTGATTTACAGGAGAAAAAAATGTTCTGGCAATCCTTTTTTGATGTTTCAAGGCTCAGTGGGATATCCATCCCTGAAGCATAGGGTGTAAGTACCTAAGTACAACAGAAAGATGCAGAGGTCTGAAGAGAGCTCTTCAGAAACAGAACAGAAAGCTCCCAGAAATTGTCCAAATGAATGCAACGTTGATATTTATAATGGTTACTTGCTACTGAGGGGTAATCAGTGCTGACTTGTGGCCTCTGCTCTTCAACTGAAAGTCTGAGAGAGCATGTAGAGCTCTCTAAACCTTCCAGTGATTTATCTGAAGTGTTTATTATCTGGCTCCCAGATGTGTATTAAAGCATGGTTTACAAAGAAGAGCTCCATGTGCAAAAGGATTCCATTTTTAGCTTGTGTAAACTGTTGTTTCCCCACCAAAATCAACCAAGTTGCTGTGTGATGTCCCCCAGCAAAGGATCTGCTCTCCAACCAAGGTTTAGTTATTGTTCTTGGCTGTGTCCAGAAATATTTCAGAGTGTGCTGGAGCTGGGCTCTGAATGCCTTCATTCACTGTATAAATGATCAAAGGAGAGGCTTCTTGATCTTGTGTGTAATAAATCCTCTGCTTTCAGGTCTGCTGAACTGCAGACTATCATAGAAATACTTGTTCCTCATGTACAGACCAGGAACCTGGAGTCAAGTATTCCTCCTGTTGGACAAATGCCTCTGGAATTCCACAAATTGCTTGGCACATCTGACAGAGCAGGCAGAAGAATGCCAGCCTTCGTTTCCTGTAGTCTGCCTGCATGGAGCATGGCTTTGGAGGCACTGCTCCCTCCTTCAGGTCAAGTAGTGGCAGGGGAGAAGAGGCATCTACCTGAATATCTGAAAAAATGAAACTAGAAGGAAAGATTTGAAAACAAATCTTGGCATAAACTGGAATCTTGGAATAAGTGTTGGAATAAGCTTATTTTTGGACTTCAAAGCGTTTGTTGTAGAAGCATTGCCTAGATTTTTATCAAGGGTTTGTCTTAGCTTGCAACTCATCTAGCTTTCTTTTGCATCTTGAAGGTGTCTTTACAAAATAGTGGTAAAACAAAAGAAAAACCGATGTGGAAGAGTTTAATGGATCTTGAAAGAAAATAAAGTTGTGGCCTTCAGGTACCTGAACTCCTAATAACTTTCTGTGGTCTTGTAATGAATCTTGTCAGTATCTTGTCAGTGTCTTGTCAGTGCCTTGCCATTAATAAATGATATAGGAAGGAAATAGTTGTTTATCACAGCCCCTGTCCATTTTTAGCTAAAAACATGCCTGTGATTACCTGTCTGAATTGAATTAATTTTATTTATAAAAAGTAGACAAGGGGTAGCTTGCTAATGGGGCTTTTTATCTAGTAGGGACTGGATCTGAAGTAGCTATGGCCACAATTACACCCTTTTGTGAATTTGAAAATCCTATGTGTTTTTAACCCTGTGGAGAGTGTATACATCATACCCATGCAGAATTCCAGTTGTCCAGATTAAAGAGCACAAACTGGACTTTTGAAGTTTTCCGGGGCTTATCATCCATGCCATGCCTTCCTACACTTAGCTGACATAACTAATAAAAAAAAGTGCCAAAATCTGGGAAATCCATGACTGCATTGCTCTGTGCATCTATGCTAACCTGTGTATCACTTTTCTTTGTGCAGTTGTTCAAGAGTCTACTGGAGAATCCTGTCCTTTCACATGGGAATTTTGCCAGCGGCATTAACTGGGACAAGATTATTGACTGTCTGAGGCAAAGCTTAGAAGGTCATTGTTGTGTTTAACTGTTAATTCTCTAGCATTATCCCAGTAACTTGTTGACGCTTCCAAGAGTTGCTTGATGTCTATATATATACACACAGCCACACGTGTGCACTCGCCTGCCTTTGGGAATTCCCTTGCCCTTGCTAACGTGAGTGCAAAGATTCACTGGGCTTTTTATTCGTAAATAGAAAATGTTTGGACTTATGTACTGATAAAGAGAGCTATTACAAACACAATGTGAAGCTGCCTTTGTGTCTATGTTCATCTAGAAGCTCAGCAGCTCACCCTTGCTTACCTCACCGACGGCCATGGCTCAAGATGCTGAAGATGCAGAAACAGCAAAGGGAAAAAGTAACGTTGCTCATTGCTAATCCCCTGCTGGAGGGGTGGCTCACCCGTTTGGAGGGCTGTGCACACCCCGTGACATCCCTCACTCGGCAGGATCTCTGTGATCTGAGAGTTGGTACCTGCCACCCGATGTGTCTCCTGCTGCCAGACAGGTCTATGAAGTAATGGAGCCTGGCTGTCTGCAGTCAGCACTGCTGTGCTACATCCAAAGCAAGCTTGCCAGTCAGCAAATGCTGCATTAATCTTTCAGGGAGTGTTTGTTTTGCTTGTTTTGCTAGGCTGAGTTTCAAGCAACTGATAATGTGCTCATGAGCAGTTCTCCTGTTGCAGCCCATTTTTCAAAAGGAAGTGTGAAGGCCAAAGCTCCCAAGGTTGGGTAGAACATGGGTTGGGAGGGTTATATATGGTCTTGCTTCACTGTGTGAGCTCACAGTGCTTTTGAGTGCATGTTAATACACCTACAGGTACATTTGGGAGAGTGGAGTTGTGGCTCTTTGAAGTCTGATGAGTGTTTTAAAAATACACCTTGGACTTTGTTCCTCTCTGTTAGTGCTAATTCTGCTTGTGGAGTTATCTCACTGCAAATGAGATGTACTTTTGTTTGCTGAGCAATAGCCAAAGCTTCTGCCTGCTGAAGTAGAAACTCTGAAGGCTTCTGAGGGTTAGATAAGACAAACATTTTACAGGTCACAGGGTTTTAAGTGTTGAAATGCCTGGAATTTCAGGAGGAAAATGACAGTGAGCCTGGTTTGTTCCCACTTTTCCCTGCTGTGTTGCTGCTCTGTCCAGCTGCAGCACTGAAGTCACAGCTCTCACTTAAAGGCCCATCCCTCCAAGTCTTTTTGCATTTAGCTCCTCTAAGCAAAAAGGAATTTAGACATACAAATAAATTTCAGAATGTGGAAAACTCAAGTCTGGAGACTCTTGTATGTGCAGAACCTTTTCTGGACTTTTTTTGGTGTTTTTTATTTTAAGATACTCCATGCTCTTTGATGACTTGAAAAATAAAAATCTTGCAACATTTTCACAAGTGAAGAGAATTTTAGCTCCCAGAGTGAGAACAGAAGGATGCACTGTGATCTTGAGGTCTTTTAGCCTGCTTACGTAGTCTGAAAAAATGTGGCTGGGCAGTGAGTCTGTTGCAAAATGACAATTTTAATGGTGCTGGGATAAGACAAATCCTGTGGATATTTCACGTGCACATACTTTTCCTACAAACTTTTCTGAGAGTTAATGTTTTACATAAAATCTATTCTGCAAAGAGTACTCCAAAGGTAGTGCTACACACAACAGTACTTTTAAAAGTGTATTTATATATATATATATACATATACATAAATATATATATATACCCTCTGCTTAAATTTTAAGTGGGAATATACTTCAAGAAGGTTTTGAGTGGAGAAAAAAGGGTAATAATTAGGTGCTTTTCTCTTTTCTGTCTTTTAGTTTGTGAAAATTTTCCTCACTTTTACTGTTACCCTAATCTCGCATCTTTTCCTGCTCACAATAAGGGGGATTATAAGGCAGAAATGAAGAAAAAGAAAAAAAAAGAAAAAAAAAGAAAAATAAAAAAAGAAGTGTGTTCTTAAATACAACAGTTGGAGAGCTGTTTGTACACATTTCCATGTTTCTTTCTGGTTTTGGATTAAGTTTCTACTCCAAAGTTCCAATTTCCTGGTTAACATATTGTTCTGGAAGGACCCCGGGCTCATGCAGACCTGGCACACGGCAGGCAGGCTGGCTCAGTGGGGAAAGCTGTTGCTTTTCCTTGCCTGCTGCAGACACAAGCACTGTGAGAATTCCCTTGGTACAGGAAAGTGTTGTGCTATTACACTCAACATTTATTGGATACTTCCTCCAGGCTCAAATAAACATTATAAAACCTCCCTTCCCCAAATGAATCGCTTAAAGTGGATACAAGAGAGGATGTGGCATCTTGGATTTTGCTGTGTGGCTCTTTGTGAACAGCAGTGCAAATGCTTATTATCAGCCTTCAGTTTTTATATGCATGGGTGTGATAGGGCTGGGCTGTGGAGTAGTGCCCTGCTGTGTAGGATACACAGGACAAGAGGGAATGGCCTCCAGTTGTGCCAGGGGAGAGTTTAGATTGGATATTAGCAAACATTTCTTCACTAAAAAAGTGTTTAAACATTGGAAAAGTCTCCCAGGGAAGTAGTGGGGTCACCATCCCAAGAGTGGAAGTGCTCAAAAAGCGAGAGACAATTCACAGCAATCCATGGTATGGTTTAGTTGACAAGGTGGTACTTGGCTGACAGCTGGACTTGATGGCCTTGGAGTCTTTTCCAGCCTTGGTGATTCTGTGATTCCCTGATCCTCTACAGACTGCTGCCCATGGTTACCTGAATGCTGTCCAGCTCCTGCTGGGGGAAGGTCCCCAGCACGGATGGATCATAGTGTGAGGTGCTGTGTCGGATCTGGGCTCAACTATGGGATGCAATGCAACACCTATAGAATATAGGCACATTTTATCTTGTTAAACCTACCCCAATCTTCTGCCTAGTCAAGGTTAGACTTTTTTGCATGTGTCTCAGAAAAATTAATAGAAATTCTTCTAAAAGAAACATAAGATTTTCACATCTTTTGGAACTTCTGCAGTGAGAGCCTGCAGAGTTCAGGCTTGTTACTAAGAACAGCCCAATGTATATTTGAGGGTGAAAAAATAATCATGTCACTTCTTTGGAACGTGATCTAAAGTTCACTGAAGTGAATGAAAAGGCTCCTGTTGGTTTTAAGTGGCTCCAGCCTTTACACGGGGAACAGAAGACGTGTGTCTCATCTGCTTAAATTTGAAAATGTTATTGGTAATTTGTGTTGATAGAAAGAGCACATGGTAACTTTCTTTCTGCATTTATATAACAGGAGGCAAAAGCCTCGAGTTTGAAAACATTGAGGATGCAGTTGCCTATTTCCAGCACGATGAGAGAGACACAGCCAAGGATTGGGCTGTTTTAAGAATATTTGATGGAAGGCAAAGCATTAGGCACTGGTTTCCCCACAGGCAATGGTTTCCTATTGTCATCCCACCAACAGATGACAACCTGATGAGCAATGTCACCTTTAAGCTTGCAAAAGGGAAGATAGTTCTTCCTGAAACAACTGATGTTTTATTTGTGGGTTTAATTCAAGTGATTATTATATTCTCACTGAAACAACCAAGTCAACAAGTGCTGGAGGTTATCAAGGAATCCACTGCAGATGGGCCAAGTAGGTGCTGCAGCCTGGGGAGGTTCCCTGGTACTGCTCTGTGATGGAGTGAGTAGTGCTGGGCTCATGGCTGGACTTGATCTTCAAGACCTTTTCCAGCTGCAATGCTCCTGTGATTCAATGACAAATGTTTGGGAGTGCAGGACTGAGCTGTCCACACAGCTGAAAATGCCTAACTGATGTTGGTCCCCCTGTGTGATGGATGGGGTTATCTGGGGCTTGAATTAATACAGGAGTAAAAGGAGAAAAGAAAAACAGCAGGCGAGTGCCTAAAAGGATCTGTGCTGTATTTTAAAGATATCCCTGTGTCAATCTGCTTGCAAAGCAATCTCTTCTACAGCCTTGTCTACCATCATTTTGAAGAAGAGGTCTTTTCATGACTCACTTAAATTCATTTTATCTGACAGTCAAGAACTGCCTAATCTTTGATGCTCATGTAATTATGGCTTTTTTTTTATATAATGACATAGCACTCAAAATATTTGAAAGCCATGCAGAGAAATATTGCATAATAGGAAATTGTGCAGGAATGAGAACGTTGGAGCTATTCATCTGTAATAACAAAATGCTTCTGTTTTACACAAATGACTTGATTAAAATAAAGACTTGCTCTGGATTTTCATCAGTATTAAAAGAGGTGAAAGCAAAAGCAAAAAGACCAATTGAATTTTTATTTTTCTTCTTTTTTTTTTTTTTTTTTTTTTAGGTATGCTGTTTCAATTCATTCCTTGCAACACTTTAACAAATATAGAAAATGAACAGAAATGTCAGGACACTGGAAAAAAACAATGCTTGAAAGAGAATTTTTATGAACTGATGAGCTGAGAGCTGAGCTGGTACCAGTAGAGTGGGATCAGTTTGGATTTCCACATTTTTCAGCCATCTTTTAGACTGTTCCCTTGTGTTACATGAGCCAAAGCGAGCCTGGAACTACATGCAACTCGTTGTCAAAGAAACTTGCACCATCACAAGGCGTCAGCTCTGCTCTCCAGAGACCAAATCTCCAGACAATCAACTCGTGTGTGCTGTTAATGCTTTGTTTCTCTCACTTCTCCCATGTATATGAAACTGTCAAGCTGAATTACACTTTATAAGGTGATAGGGAAAAGATCTAACATTTCTTTTTCCCTTTTACAAATTTTTACAGTGTGTGGAAGCTAATGTTTGCAGCCTAAAAGCCAACCAAACAAAACAAATCCTGTTGCTTCAAACCTGACATCTTTCAGGTAAACAAGAAAAGCTTTTGACATAATTTGCAAGTATTATTACTATAATTTTTTTAAAGCTCTGCTTTCATAGAAAGGTCCTGGGAGAGGCATGAGAACAAAATATGCTTATTGGAATCTAAATTTTTAAGTTAAAATACAACAAATAAGCACAAAAGTAGAAAAAAGGCAGAAGCCTAGCATCACCTTCTCAATCCTATTTCTGACTGTTGAAGACAGTGCAGCCTCACCGCATAGAACAATATTCCAAATCAGTGCACAGATTGGAGAATTCCTCCATGATTCTTGCAAAAAAAGGACCAAAATCAGTGAATTTCTTAGTGTTTCACTGAAATCTGTCCAATGAGGACTCCAGTGCTTTCCAGCAATGTGAGTCACTGTCTTTTTTGATAATGGACAAGCCTTGTATTTCAAAGACCGGCACAAGCTCCTGGGTTCCCCATGGCAAACAGCAGGAATGGTTCTCACTCCTGTTACTCTGCAGAGTAAGATCTTGGCAGTTTCTGTGCCAAACCAGTCAAACCCCATCTCTGATTTCACCCAATAAAAAATGAAAATGGAGAGCTGTGCCCACTGCTGGTGTTTCTGTTCCTTGCCAGCACTTTGACACATCTGGCAGGAAAGTTCACTCAATTAAGTGTTTTCTACCTCTCTATCTTTTCATGGCATTGCTCGAAATATCCAGGTTTGGCAATTCCTTTGCTGAATAATAGGCCCTGAAGATTCTTCCACATATTTATTGCCTGACATAGTCCTATAGTTTTTGAATGTATTTGTATTATACCATTGTGTAAGCAAGCTCCTGCTAAAGTCAGAGCATAAAGCTTATTCAAGGTGCCTGCATTCCTTGAAAGGATCCAGGCAAGCATTTTCTCCACAAATCCAAATTATACATCAAATTTATTCCATCTGGGATTTGTATGTGTGCATGTATTCTTTGTTAAGTGTTCTAGCAAATACTAAAATACCAGCTAGGTTAAGGGGATGAGCAAAATTCCTGTCAGTGTTAAATGAATATTTGTGGAGGGTGCATTTTGAGTGTGCTGTGTAAAGTTTATAATGGTCAAGGCTATATTGTTCAGCTAACTGGTTAAACTCTGCCCTGAGACCAATCTACCCAGAATAGTGGGAAAGCAGAAAAGCAAGAGTTACTTGTAGTGAAGAAAATACAACCATAGGAAAGGATTATTTGAAAAATTAAAACAAGCAGTTGAAGTCTGGGAGTCATTCAAGAGGCTTCACTGTTTCCAACAGCAAATTGTCTATGAAGAGAACTAAAACAACCTATTCTTTTGTTTTCCAAGCACCTTCAGTAACTTGTAAGATTTGTGTCAGACTCCAAGTAGAAATTTATCACCAATTATATTCGAAAGAATAACAATAAAAGCTTGGTGAAAGGAAAACAATACTGAAGCTTTGTCAGTCAGCTCAGTAGTTTTAATTTCTATGTTTTTTTCGGAAGGATATTTTTAAAACTCTGAACCCATTTTCTCTTCTGTAGAAATACTGCATCATCTTGTTCTTGTTTTTCTCAAAATCACATTTTAGCTGTGTGCCTCTAGCTATTAACCCTGTGGATTTCTTTCAGATAGAAGATTGATTCCAGAAATCCACAAGCCTCAAAAGCCACCACAGTGGGGTAATACCTCACTTATCCCCTATTTCTGATGGCACAGAGGAAAGCATCTCTGTCCTCGACTACTGAGAAGGCACAGCAGCTTCACTTCTAACTCAACAGTCTTAGATAGACAGGTACCATTGTTTTTCTTGTATTTTTTGTCCGTCTCTCCTGTCAAGTGACAAGATTGGTCTTATTCCAACAGCACAGGCACACCTGCTGGGCACCAGAGAAGCCCTTCCAGGCCCAAACTGAGGGCAGGTGCACTGGTGGAATGGTTGGTCCTAGTATGGTCCCCCCTGGATGCAAAGGAAAAGCCTGCTTCATGCTCCCATGAGGATCTGAACGTTTTTATAGTTAATAAACCTCCTCTTTCCCATTTCATTGATCTGCATGGACTTGCCAAGGTGGAAGGAGTTTTGTTTGCGGGCTTTTAGAATAAATTAGTTTGAGTTCTGCCTGTAAAATTCTCCATAGCTGGTTACTACCCAGAGTTTCAAAAATGGACCCTCTGCTTTGGGATCTGGGGGGAAGTGAAGCTTGTATCTTATCCATTACTGTGTAATGGTGTCTGAAAATTCATATTTTTCTTTTAATGGTTTAAAAAGGAGCCTTGTAGTTTTGCAAGGACAAATTCTAACAGGGCAAAGGGAAGTGGAGGGAGCAGAGTTCAGGGAAGACTGTGGCATAAGCTTTGCTTTCTGTTACCTGCAAGCACATTTAAACCAGCTGCTGTATTAAAGAGGGGGTTTCTTTAACATATAAGATATATGCACAAAAATATGATATATTTATTCTGAAAATTTAACTGAGCATTTACAAATAGCACCCTCTGCTTTAGATCCTTCTCAAAGGCAGGAACGACCAGAACATTTCTCTTGCCATTTCAGCAGGTGACAGCCCAGTGCTAAGGGTCCAGCACAGCCATTCCTCCTCAGACGGGTGAGCAATTCCCAAGGTTTGACATCCTGCCCCACCAGAAGCTTTGGCCATGGGACACACCCTTAGCTCTGTGCTGTCTGCACACCCTGATGTGCATGCCAGTCATGAAGCCACTTCTCTTGCCCACCTCCACCTGGTAGAATAAACTGTGGGACCAGGTCCCCATGAGAGGTGTTAACAGAACATCAGTGAAACCAGTGGGACTGGTGGTGCTAAATCCAGAGCCCAGGGCAATGCTTCAAGTGAGAGAAGCCAACATGATCAATTGAGATAGTGGGCAATGCTGGACCTCAGCTCTTCCCTTGCTCCCCTCCCCTCATATTTATAGGTTTCTAATTTCCGCTGGATAATGAATATCACTTTTCATTATAATTATGTTAAAAGGTACCAGCGTGATGATTCAGAAACCCTTGAAGATATAGTCATATTTTCAGCAACAGATGGATTTAACACTGCAGATGGAGTGTTAAGAGTGCAGGTAATAACAAACTCAGCAATGTACTGTACTGAAATATAATTGGAAAGTATTAATCATATATTGGTTACTTCAGCTTCACTAAGTAGATGTTTAATTTTCATCAATCTTTTTACCAGATTCCCGGAAAGATTTCTGTGCAGACAGAGTGTGGCTTTAGGTGAAGTGATTGCCCAAATTATTAATGACTGAAGCCTTGATCTTGCAGGCATGTGCCCATGGCTTACCCAGGCATGCAGAATAAAAATCATTTGTGTTAATAAGGCTGTCAGAGGGGCCCCCATTCATATGGCCCAAGTTTCAGCTGGTGACCAGGCAGTGGTGAAGCCCAGACCCTTCCCTTCACGGGGGCTGTTGGAAATCTGCCAGCAGGAATGGCTGGATTTGTGGCAGAACACAGCAATTTTAAAAACTCTGCTTATAGAAGTGAACCATCAGTCTAAGCCTTTGCAGGACTGGGAGTTAGAATGTAGACAAAATGGAGGGGGGGGGTGCCATTCCTCATTATTTTAAGTACAGACTATATGGAATTATCTGCATGCAGAGAAATGTCTGCTGTTATTCCCATAAACCCTGTCAGTTTGCTGGGATTTTTTTAATGCACTTCTTCAGTGAGGTTGTATTTGAAGCCTGGATTATTCAGGGGAGTTTTTGCTCTGAGCAGACCTTGCAGGACCAGAGTAATCAGTGATGCCTGGTTGCATGCCATGACTCTGATTCTTTAATTAATGCTATTTATAACTAGGATATTATTTGTAGGATCACAAAGTGGTTCCTGCTCCAGTGTGCCACCTGGGGACTCAGGGAATGGGGAGTGTGGTAGGGCACAATTCCAGCTCATGCAAAAATCTATTTTATACCAGGAATATAAAAGAGAGTTTTGCTGACAACAGAAATATTATTCTTTTAAATATGCTTTTTTTTGTGGATGGTTTATGTTCACATTCTTTGTATGGGTTCAGGCATTTGGTGAGGCTGTAACTCCCCTGATTCCCTTATGAGGTTTTCTTTCCCTGGTGGGAGTACACAGCCATGGTGTTCCATGATGACCATGGACTGACCAGATGGACTGTTGTAAACAACAACATAAGCATTCAACACCTAAGTTTTAAGTCCCACAAAATACTTTGCTCAAATGTTGTAGTCTTTTGCTGAATTATTTAGTTTTTTAACTATCCATGAACCCTGAAAATGTAATGAAAAACTGGAATTCTATCTGGAAAATCGACTCTCACTTGACAATACAGTATCTTCATCTTGGCTGATAAGGAAAAAAAAGATCGAGTAATAAAATTCAACATGACTGGAAACAAAATTGAGCATGACTAGAAACCACAGGTGAGCATGTTTAATGATGTGAAATGAGTGTGCTGTCTACTTCCTGACAGGCTTTTGTACTCCACAGAGATACAAACAGGTACTGATCGATTGACCATGGTAATCAAATAAAGCTGTGAGTATAAATGGCTCTAAATATGGTATCTCCTTAGGGCTACCAGTCGAGATGAGTGGTTTGTAACTCAGGTCCCACACTGCTCTTGTGGGGAGGGGGGAGCTTGTTGCTAGACTGTAAAGATGAGTAATATTTCTGTTTAATGTTCATTTCACCTTGAAATAAACTCTTGTCTTGCCTTGCCTTGCCTTGCCTTGCCTTGCCTTGCCTTGCCTTTCCCATGGGTGAGCAGCAGGGAGTGCAGGCAGGGATGGGTGTGTGCAGGGAGGATCAGCCAGGATTTTCCAATCTGGAGATATTTCTCCCATGTACAAACTGGTAGGGTGGACTTTTCATCTAACTGCCAATGTTTGAACCCCCCTTTTCTGTTTGTTTGTTTGGTTTTTTTTTTTCCTTCCTTGCTTATGAGACTTAGTTGAATCAAAAATTACTTAAATTGTCAAGTGTCTTAGTTTTGATTTAAATAGTGTCTTTTAAAACTTGTTCTGCATTTGTAGCACAGACTTGTGTTGCTTGGGAAAGGTTCAGTCTCAGTTTTTATCAGCAGGACAGCACATTTGGTACCCGTTTGTGAGAAACAGGTGGGTAAAGCACTGCATTTACACATAATAATAGAACTTTATACATATTAAGAAGCTCTCTAGGTCTGTAGAAAAGACACGGGGAAGCAAAAGATTCCGTTTAATAAATCATCTCATACTTTGCTCCAAAGTACTCAAATTCTAGTTCAACCAAAGAGCATTAGGCAAAGGGTTGAAATTTAAATCACTGGTACCTGCGAAAGCTGGAGAGCCTCTGCTCCTTCCCCATTGTCATCAGGAGTTCTACATGTCCCTGTCTGCCCTGCATCATCTCAGAATTTGCTGCTTGGTCTTTCCAGTTAAAGTGATGATGTTTTTAATTTGTGATTCATGACAGAGTGCTTTGGATGAAAATTGTAATTCAAGGAAAATCACGAGCACATGTTTTATGAAGGCATTTTATTTGCTAGCTCAAACTGTGTGAAGTTTGCTGGATGTATCAGAAAACAAAGGTAAATATCTTGTTTTTCAAAACTTGATAAATTATTAAGAAAGGAAAAATGCCCTGAGTTAATCAATCTGATGTTTTTTCCACCATTTGTCCCTGGAGGATTTAGATGTAGTGGATCGTGCTTTAGTGCTGGTCTGCTCTCATCATTTGCAAGAGAGAAAATAAACATTCCTGTGTCTCAGCTCCTCATCAGTGTCTGAACTTGAATGAATCAGCTATTGAGCTGAAGGAAATTAAATATAAATTGACATGAAGAAAATGTTCTCTCTGCAGCTGCAGAAGTAGCTATGGTTGTCCAAAGCTGACTTTTATCCCTTCAAAGACCATTATTTTGGGTCACATCATCCTATTCAATAACTGGTATTTCTATAAAAGTTTAGCCTAAAGTTACTGCTTTAATACTACTTTTAAAAATTTATAAAAGTAAGTTCGATGAAAGATTGTCTTAAATTCAGTTGTGACTTTTGGCACTCATTTAGAATGGAAAATCAGTATACAAGCTGCTCTTTTTAAATGTTAATCCTGTTTCTTCCTTGATCATTACTACAAACAGCATTTAGTAGTCTCACAGTAATTTAAAAACATAATAAGTATTCTTTTAGTTTGAGACTTAACTCATGAGTTTGTGTTGCAGAAGTGCTCCTGGCTGGGAGTCAGGTGGCTCCATTTTCTCACCTTCATTTTGCTGGGCTTGCCCACAAAATTGTGTAATGACATAATGTCACTATTTATGGCACAAATGTTCTAAATAAATATTAAATATTCTGTTTTGGAGAGTGATTTCAAGACATTTACATTTCTTGTGCTACACTCTAGAGCCCTCTGCTACACTGAATTACCTGGAATAAGTTCTTTCAACTCAGGTTGCCCAATTATCCTTCTTATGTGGTGCCACTATTTAAATATTATATTTTCCTGGGCAATTTCTTTGCTCTGCAACTTTCCTGGCTTTAATTCATGCTAAAATACACATGGGAACATGACAGTTTCTCCCTGCTCCCCTTCTCATTCTCAGGCATGTTTGGAGAAATAAAAGATCATTAAAAGAGAATAATCTTGTAAAATGCATTCATTATACCGGGAAGGTAAAAATGGAACTTGTTTGTTGGTACTCTGGAGATGATCTTTGTTGGTCTTTGGAGATGTATTAGGAGATGTCTCCATGCACAGATCTTTGATCACTCAGTTCTCTATCACAGCAACTACTCAGCTGTAGCACAGATATCAAATTTATTACCAAACTTAGATCATTGCTCAAGTCACTGGCATAGACAAGAGCTCTACTTCAACACATCAATCTTCAAGTTCAACTCCTGCTTCTCTCCTTCTCCACCTATTTTTTTCCCCCACTTCCAGTGGTCTCATCTTCTGAGACAGGAAAACATTTTCCTTGCTGGTTTGTTCTTTCTCCCAGAAGCAGTTGCTCATTTTGTAGGCAGAGTGGACTTTTAAATCACTGCCAGTGTTATTTTTCCCTCTGAATACCCCTCCTATTGCCAGGTCTTCTATAATTGGATGCCTCCTAATTGCTGTTGAGTAACATAAATCTACCTTGAGATCTGCTGGAGTGAGCATTTCTGGAAGTTAGGTCTTTGCCCTTTGGATCCTCTAAAATCTATCCCATGAGATCTCTTTGCTTTTTTTGAGGAATTTTTATTATTATCTTTTTGGAGATGGAGTTGATCTGGGACATGACAAAAAGTCACTTTGGTAAAAGTCACTCAGTCAGCACTGAGACCTGTTGAGTCTATAGGATTGAATCCTGCATGCAAACATCTTTCCTTACATAACTGGTATTTCTCATTTTACTACAGCACATTTTTAAAGCTGAACTTTGAAGCTGATCCCTCTCTAATACTTGGTGGCCCTCCCTAACTAAACAAAAGATTTTTATGATTTTTAAAGGATTTGTATACTGTCAGATGAACAGATGTAACACACACCTGTAGTCCATCTCCACTGGGAACCTTTTTTACTGCTGCTGTTTAGAGCTGTTCAGAAAATTTTTGAACCAACTTTGTGATGAGAGAATAGACTTTAATGTAAAAAAGCTTTAGTGAAAAGCATCTGCTTTGTATGTCTAGTTTGGTTAGGTTTTTGGTGTTTTTTTTTTTTTTTTTGCTAGAACTAAAAATTGATGTATGTTTTTTGACTTGAGAATTTATGTTCAAAATACCAACATATCGTGGAAAAGGGAGATGGAGAAGATTTATCTGAGGACTTGTCAAAATTCTGTCCAGACATGGTGATGACAACTTCTGTGTTTTAGCTACTTATCATAATTTGTTGATGTTTTAGATACTCTTGTTTGATATTTGTGTTCATATGGCTGAAGTTAATGACTTATTTGGGATTTATTCCTGATTTTGCTATAGACTCATCTTCCAAGACATTGGCCAGGCTTTTTCTGCTTTATTTTAGGAGCTTGTGGATGAGGAATGGAATAAGCAAGGCAACCTGGAGACCCTTTAGCCTTAATTCTGAGGTTCTTAGTGCTCATATCTCCAATCAATCACGAATTTCCAGTATGAATTAAGTCCTACCTGTTGCAGAGTACTGGGCAGACATGTAGACATAGAGTCACAGAACAGTTTGGGTTGGAAGGGATCTTTAAAGGTCACCTAGTCCAACACCCCTGCAATGAGCAGGGACACCTTCCACTAGCTTGGGTTGCCCAGAGCCCCATCTAATCTGGCTTTGAACACTTCCAGAGCTGGGGCAGCTCCCCTGGCATCCTGTGCCAGGGTCTCACCACCTGCATTGTACAAAACATGCAAAATTATCCAGAAAGACAAAGTCAAACCAAACCAAGCACAGAGATAAAGTAACAGCATCAGAAGAATGGAGGGTCTATCCTCAGAGATGATCAGGAGTTTGGCATATTGAGCTCAGCAAAACAAAGCCTGAGATGGAGATAAGTAACCCCCAAGTATCTTGAGGGAATAAACATAGGGGGCAAATAAAACCTAAATTATTTACGCTAATAGGGAATATTGGCAAAAAACCCAAACAGATTGAAACCACCATGAGAAAATTCAGGCCAGCAATTAAAGGATGGTTTCCATCCAGTAGAGGAAAAGTATTTGGAGCAGCTCTGAGCTCTGGGTGCTCCCATCCCTTCGCTGGGATTATCCCTCCCACAGCAATGAACCCCCCACAAGGCATTAGTTTCTAACTCTGTTTCAAGCTACTGAATCAGTTGTGTGTACCTGAGTGTGATTTCTGGGTTGGTGCTCTCTGCTCCTCCCTCAGCCACATCCTGTGCAGACACCTTCACACTGTCTCTGACAAAGGGACGGGTGGTAGTGGCTGATTTCTGGTTTTAGGAAGGTCTTCATCCACCTGTACCACCTCCTACTGCTCTCCCAATTTGTAACTGGAATACTGCATCCCTGCCTATTGATAACCTGAGGCTCCAGACTCAAAAGTGCACTTTGTGTAACAAGATTTTACCTTCAAATTTAACCTCAATTACCACCTGCGTGTAATTTTTAAAGTTTGTATTTAAACCTGGAGTGTTTCAGGCCAGACTGCAGCGACAGGATTTACCCAGGGTAGAACCAAATCGTGCTGTGTGTCCTATTGTAAGACCCATCATTTAGCAGGCAGAGACTGTCATGTTGTAACAAGCTGAGTTGCATGGAGCCAGCAGCAACCTTCAGATCCTCTGGAGATGAGTCATGCTATTTTCAAACTATCTGGTTAATCAGTAAACTGAGATCTGCTGCTTTACAGACAATAATATAATAGTTGCTTTGCATTTGTGCACTATTTTACATTTTGGATCCTTTGCCATTATGATTCGAAGCATATAGACTGCATCTAATCCAATTTATCCTGTTCATCTTGGCAGTGCTCGCAATGCTGACAGCTTAAAGAAAACACTTAATTTGACTAAGTGTTTTCAGTTTGCTTCTCAAAATATTTGAAATCATTAAAGCCAGAGTACCCCTGCACTGCAATACACACAGTCCTGACCTACTTCAGCAAGTTAATTACAATTTGTGTGATCCCAGGGCCTCTGATTATGCTGCAGGCTGAAGTAGTTTACCTGGTTAAGAAAGCGCTTGATGTTAGAGAATAATTCTCCTGTCTTGATGCTTTTTAGTCTGACTTTTAAAGAGTCTCTTGGAGCAAAAATGAGGCATACTGGGGACTT